TTTGTTTGGTGACAAAAGAAAGGCATAATGTATTTTGAACATGTGTAACTCCAACATTAATTATTGTATCTCTTTACTTCATAGAGAATGAAAGCAGACCAAATAGGGGTGTTTGTTATAAGTAATAATACCATGTGGGTTTTCAAAAATGTAATGCATGCATATAAACAATGCATATGCGCACATTTTCAAAAACCTCATGAAAATAAAATTAACTTTTATCTATTATGATTTTAAAAAACAAGAATTAAAAAAGAAAATGGCTATTTACTAACCATGAACTCGATCAGTTCTGCCAAGTTTATGCCATTCTCAACCTTGCTGAAAAGTCTAAAAAGAATTTTCTCGGCTCAAGCAAGAGCATTCAAGATAGGGAGAAAAATGTTGGCAGCATCAAGCACCAAAGATTGATGTCCCTTCTACAAGTCAAATGCTTCTTCTTTCTAATCAGTTTTAAATGCATACCTTCCCCCTATTTTTTGCTACATTAGTTAGGAAGCTGTCATTCCAGAGACATTTATAATGTACGTGCATAGGGAGAGTATGAGTGTTCTCTGGCATGAAAGAAAAACAATGTTTTGATGATCAGATTGTTCAGTATTTTCAAACCATCTAATGGTTCTTCTATTGGAACCCCATGAGGAAAAACAAGAGCGAAAAGAGAAATCCGAACAAAAGCCGATACAGTTTGTTCTAGTTTCTCAGATACATCTCTTTCCTCTTCCTTCTTTTTTGCATGCACAATTTTTAAAACGGCATATAATAATTGTCATTTGCAATATCCAGTACCATTCTAAGTAGAAATCTAAGTGGGCTGAGAGATAGCAAGCACATTTTTCAGGGGTGGTATTCCAGGGAAATTTCTCTGCCTTCTCCTGGGGGACCACATGGGGAGATGGTGTTCATCTCCCTTTTCTTCTTTCCTCTTTGCATTGCAGTGCCCACACCTAATATTGAATGAATTTCCTACTCTTCTTCCTGCTGCTCCTTCTCCTAAAGAAAAAGTGGGATTATATTCTGAGCCTTCTCTAGAAGGCATAAATGACTTGCCTAATAAATCAACAGAGCTGAATACCTCTGTGATGTCAAAGGGATCCCTGTAACTCACTCTCTCTCTCTCTCTCTCTCTCTCTCTCTCTCTGCTAGTGAAAAGTTAAGCCATTCCTAGGAGAATATTTCAGGAAACAACTTATAAAACAGTATCATGAAAGATGATCAAAGCTTTCCTACTTCTAGGAGTTTATTCCAAGGAACAAATAACAGCTGTGCAAATAGCCTCAAAGATGGCAGTCAAATCCATAATGGCCAAAAATTAAAATAATCTAATTGGTCAATAATAAGGAGTGGTCAAGTTTACTATATCATATTAAAACAATAGAATACTGTGCGAATATTAAACATATATACAATGCACATTGACATGGAACAATGCCCAATTTTGTTCAGTAGAAAAAGCATGTTAAAAGCAAAATATGTTATAGTATTTTTAGAGTAGGTAGGTGTACATGTATATATGCATAAGAAAATACATAAAATGCCATCTTCAGTTATTTATATTCTATATCTCTTTTTCTTCATCTTTCTCCATATATAAATTTTCTGATTTGCCTAAAATATACATGCATTACTTCTGAAGTAAACCTATAAAAATGGACATAATATTACAATTCATAGTATCAACAGTCTTTCTTTAAAAAAGCCCCTTAAATTGGCTGCAGCTGATAAGTTAAACAGGTTGTCGCTGTGAATTAATACTGGATAATGGTAGGCACAAATGGAAAGGAATAATCTGTACTCAAAAATAATCTGTCACCTGATTAGCATATTTCATGTTCTCTGTGAGGTTTTGTAAAACTGCAAGTCCATTTTATAAACACTAAAAATTAAGAAGCCAATCCTGAGATTTTTCTGCATCCATGCAACTGATTTTAAGGATATTTTATTTTAGATGAAAACATCAAAATTGTCATTGATCCCAAATTGCCATATAAATCCAGCATCTACAGTTGAAGTCAACCTGTTTAAAAATCACAGATTTTCCCCCCAAATCCCTGATCTCCCTTCCCATGATGCTGAGGTTTAGCGATAGTATTCATCCAGAGCAACAGCTCAGCATTGTTTCTAAAGCAGCCTTTTTCCTAATGCAGGAAATTAAAAACGCAAACACCCCAAGCTAGTCAATCAGGAAAGCAGCATTGTAAGTGTTAGGGCTTTGAGGATACAAATTAGGGAATTAGCTTTTTTCCTTAACATAAGTATATTCACTAAGTAATTTGCTTTCTTTAACTGGAGTTATCCCCTTCCATTAACTGGAGAAATAAGTCCAAATTAAAATCACTGTTCATCAATTACTGCTGGGGGCATGCTCATGCCTATGGAAGGGACCAGGCAATACAGCTCATCCACTATAATTTTAATCACTGTTTAATCAGAGCTCTCAACAGGAATAATTTGGCGTGGAGGAGAAATTGGAAACTCTCAGTTATTGTTGGCATGAAGGCAGATATTGCTGAGGACTTTTGATTTATTTACTCATTAATATTTTCAGCCAATTTTAACTTTTTCCCTTGTTCAATGAAAATGCGCTATGCACTGGAAAGAGAGTAGTGAATATAATGACATAGTTCCTATTGCATTCTAGGCATAGGGAAAGTTAATACATGAGAAGTCATAATTACAAATCATGGTGAGTACTTCATAGGAATGGAATAAGGTAGGAGAAAGAATAATGGGAAGATGCCAGATTACCTTGGGAGTCCTGGAACCCTTAAGAAGGGACATTTAAGCTTTTGACTTATCAGAATAGTAATCAAGGAATCAAATGGGTATATTTTGTTCACTGTTTCCCCTATAATCCCATAGAGGAAACGGTGAGCAAAATATATTCACCACTCTCTTGACTATGGGAGTGTGTCCGTTTTATAAACTCGGAATCAGCACAGTGGCTGGCCTACATAGGAAATCAGTTAGTGTTGGTAGAATGAATGAATAAGTGAATATGAAAGAGAACAACAGAGGCAGAAAATAGGTACAAAAGAGAAAGAAAACTGCGGACACAAAACTTTGCAAGCTGATTGTCATATCTCATATTTCATGGCTCAGCTCTCTATTCCAGTTCATTTGAAAATGGTCTTTCATCCAAAAAAGGCAACTTTTGAAAGTGCTCCATTCTTTACACAATAAGTACAATTTTTCTAACCTCTTAAATCTTGCCAAGTGAGTAGACATGGATGTTATTGCTTTTATTGAGATCCAGGAATGAATTCTTTAAACACACACACACACACACACACACACACACACACAGTTCAATGTAACCTCTGTTATAGGGTTACATGACCTAGAAATTTTTAAATTGCTTCAAGTACATAAATGTAAATAAACTCTTATCTAAATCACTCAATTATCATTCAACAAGAAAAATGTATAAAAGCAAGAAAAGTATTTAAAAGAAAATACTTTTAAAAGTATTTATACAAAATCTTTGGTGTAAAACAAGCATGTCAAACTCAAAGGCTAACATGGGCCCAAAAAATGAGGCATGTGGCCGATGAGTTTGACATGCTTGATCTAAAATTTCCACTCCTGAGAGCAGCACACCAACAGAAAAAGACATAGTTTTTGTCTTATATCTACCAAAGGAAAACCTGGGTTTACTCCTAAACTCTTAAATCATGTCTTATATATGTAACTACAGAAAAGTTGAGTATGTTATTTTTTTTAATGTTTTTATTGATCAAGCCTGTAACCCAGGCATGGGCCCTGACTGGGAACCTCTTGGTTCATGGGTTGATGCTCAACCACTGAGCCATACCAGCTGGGCATGTTAAGTATGTTGTTGTTTTTTTGTTGTTGTTTTTTTGTTGTTCATACATAATACAATAATCTTAAACTACCTTTCAATTATAATATGCAGTCATCACTTTATAATTTAAAATGAAAAATATTTCAATGGAACTGAAGACAGTCCATGGTAATCAGTCTAATAAAACATTAAGGAACGGATTCATGTTTCCGAGGGTGTCTCTGTCTACAGATAGAGAAGCTGTTCTTGGTTTCCGATGGACATTCTGTTTGTGCATCAAAGCACAAAAAGCGCTGACATACGCATAACACAGTTTCTCCCTTTACAGAGAGACATAACTATCCATACAGGCAAGACAAGGTTTCACATTTTAAACATGGTTTCCATTTGAAATCCGATTCCTTACAAAGAGAACATGACTTGAGCATTGGCAAAGGGAGTCCCCTAGGAAGAAATGTAAACAGATGGCTGAGAAGGATCACCCACATGCTGCACACAGATCTTAAGGAGGCATTTCTAAGAATGAAGTGGCACTTCCCAGCCTGGGCCACTGCCCACCAGGATCCTTATTTAACCCACAGCGCTTATACCTCCAGCCAAGAAGAACCTCAGCAGCTCTTTGCCCACTTCCCTCCCAGGAATCCAGACTACTTTTCATCTCTCCCCAAGATTCCCAAAAGAAGCTCAGGACCAACCGCTTGAGACAGATAATCCTCTAATAAATCAGTGTTCGATGATCAGCCCTGAACTAACATCTTCCCGTCGAAACGGGCTGTTAAGCCCCAGCTACACATATTAAGCATTCAATTTAATGTATGACACACATCTGTTCCACTTTCTCGGCGAGCAGAAGTTTCAAGATAACTTAAATCCCAGACTTAATCAAGGAGAAAAAAAATTCTTGGCAGTGTTTAAAACTGATTTTTAAAATATAATCCAAATGAGAGCGAGAGAGACCATTTTGCTGTAACTAATGAGATTACATAATGCCTAAATCAAATCTGTAAAATTACCTGAGCAGAAGCACTGCCTCTTTCAACCGAGTCTATTTATCTTTCCCTTTGTTGTGCCAACCTTTACGGAAGACCTTTATCTAGAGCTGGCCCAAAGCACCAAAATAAAAGCAAGAATAAATCTTCTGCAAACCCTGTAATTTAACCCCTCAGTGCCCAGAGGCCAGAAGAGAAAAACTCACAGATTTGTCCTTCACAAGGAGAGCACAACACTGAATTCCTGCCATCAGCATCTTGTGGGGGTTCCAGGCCACAGAATCAGCTCTGTCATGTAAAACAAAGTCAAGGACAAGGTGGGGGGCCCCATTAGTTTCTGCTGGAGGAAAGAATTCTACCGTCAGCAGCACACACATTCAGTACTCAGACCCAAGGTAGTGCTCAACAGGATTCCTTTTTTAAGTAGTCTAGCGCCATGGTGGGCAAACTCATTCGTCAACAGAGCTAAGTATCAACAGTACAATGATTGAAATTTCTTTTGAGAGCCACATTTTTTAAACTTAAACTTCTTCTAACGCCACTTCTTCAACATAGACTAGCCCAGGCTGTGATTTTGTGGAAGAGCCACACGCAAGGGGCCAAAGCCACATGTGGCTCGCGGGCCGCAGTTTGCCGACAATGGGTCTAGGGAATTTGGAGTTTTGTTGTTGAGCAATTACTTTGTTTCTCTGTCTATTTTCAGAATGTCACATAAGTGGGCAAAATCCAAAGAGATTCCCATGCCTGGATCAAGGCGCTATGTGTGGGAGTGGCATTTACCTGTGGATTCCCTGCAGAAGCCAGCGGTGCTTCCTTGACATCAGAGCGGAGCCACCCCAAGAAGCCTGTTGAGAAAAGTGTATAAAACCCATGTCATTTCAGTGTTATTTGTCTACCAGCCAACTGTCCCAGCAAACCCCCAGGGACAACCTCAACCTGCCTTGCTACTTGGTTTTAAGTCCATGTTAACCAACTTGTACTCCAAGAAAGATTGATTACCTCCCCTTCCAAAGCAATCAGAGCCTCATCACGACAGAGGGCTCCCTATGGACCCTTAGGAAGTACATTCACACATCTTATAAAGAAATTGGTATAGTAACCTGTTGAGCTGTGTGGGATCCAAAAGGTTTAAAAGGCACAGTCTATATCAGTGGTTGGTAAACCGTGGCTCTCAAGCCACATGCAGCTCTTTGGCCCCTTGAGTGTTCTGACTCCACTTCTTCAAAATAGACTTACCCAGGTCTCCGAAAACTGACTTCTGCACATGGGCCACGAAGTTTCAATTGCACTGTACGTGTGCGCCCACACGTGGTATTTTGTGGAAGAGCCACACTCAAGGGGCCAAAGAGGCGCATGTGGCTCACGAGCCATGGTTTGCCGACCACTGGTCTATATCTTCTCAAATCTTAGAATCTAAAATAGACAATAACCTTACAACACCAAGATTCTATCATGCACAAGGTACCAATGCTGATAAGGAGTCAGGGACTAAGGCCAGGCATTCTATCTAGTAAATGTGGCACATGCTTAACCAGGTGGATAGAAGGGAATATAGGAATTCATAGCCAACTAACTTCACCTAGGAGGAAATGGATCCTATTATTGAAAAAATAGATATTTTCAGACAAATAGCTTTCAGATATATTTTCAAGTAAAAAACGTGAGTGAAAGGAAAAACCTGGGATTTAAGGAAGTTATTCATTGAAAAGGTAAACATGAGCAAAGGAGTGGAGAACTAAGAATAAGAAGATGAAAGAAAATCCCATAGTCAATAAGTCTAGAAAGGAGGGAGGAAGAATCTATATGAGGAATAAGAAAGTCAGTTTGGTTCCTGAAATTGAGCAAACTTCTAAGTTTCATTTGTAGGGAAGTGAAGGGCAAACTGCAGTGAGGAAACAGGAGGGGACTGTCTTGGGCTATGTCGAATGCTCTCCAAGGCTATTTCCACTGCACAACACTGCACTGAGAATGGAATTATTATCACTTCAAATTTCAATAGAAAAAAACAAAGGTTTCAGTGGTGGTAGGTAGACTGCCCAAGGTCTCACAGGTAATAAAAACCAGATCTGGGATCCAGAACTCATTCTCTTTTCACAATAGCATATCTAGGGAAGGTGACCAGTTTGCCAAATGGTAGAGTGCAGCATGGAGATCTGAGGGTGATGGAAGTATTATAGGCAGAAGGTGAGTTTAGAAACTGCCTAGGATGTAGACCATCCTACTTTAGGCTATAGAATTTAAAAAGATGATGAATACCCAGTATCATATGGAAAGAAGTGTGGAAAGGGTATGTGTATCATAGATGTGGAAAGTGACAGAAATGAGACATCTCCATGATCCTCAGACTATTGCAAAAGCTGAGCAATTGGTGAACCATATGGCATGGCTTTAAATCCCACTTATGAACAGTTCTCTCATTTAGGGCTGGAATGCAATGACTGTGTCACCTAAGGTGCATGATTTAAAAAGGTACACACTCTCAGCGTTGGGCTCTTGCCTGGCCCTAAGAGTGAATCCCTTCTTAACCTGAGTCCTAGGAACCTTATTTGTGTCACCTTAATCCCAGCCCAGTTTGCATGGACTAGTGTCTCCAATAACCCCACAGGGTTCCCAAAGGTTTGTGCACTGAAGGTGGTATGCATGCAAATCCCAAAGGTTCCCAGTTACAGTACCGATGACTTCGGGATGTTGGTCAAGCCCCCTTCTTGCTGCACTCTTCCCCCTGGGCTTTCCTGATTCAGGCTGAGAGGCAGGGGCAACTGCCTTCAGCATTGAAGAAAACTTTATCCTGGCATACTAATTGAGGATCCCCAATTTAGATCTTAATGTTTCACAAACATTAAGATGACTTGCCTGTTATGTTGTCTCACTTCCATTACACACCATAAATACCGAGTTGCCTACTTTTTTTTTCTCAATCCTTTCACCCCTGACTTCATTGAGAACCTACCCGTGACAATTATGAGGATCAATAGTAAGATTCAGACACACCCATTTACCTTCTTAATCTTCCCACTTGCCTCACCTCTGACACCTGCACTTCTTTGTGTCTCCTACACTACTTTCTGCCTCATCTCCTTCCCCCAAAAGTAAACAATATTCTCCCAATCCTAGTGAGCTGGATTGAAGGTTTCAAGTCACATGCATTCTCTCAAGCTGTGGTTTATGGAGTGGTCAGGAAGGTAAGAAACAACTCATCCACAAACTTACTCTTCAAAAAAAGCTGGAAGGAGAAAAACCACACCCCTAGTGTTATGCCTTATTTCTGTTTGCTTAATGTTCTAAATTCTAAGTCCAAAATTTGCAACAACAACAACTAACAAATCACGTACATGATGAAGGAGCTTGGTTTCCATCTCAATAAGGACCATCATTTATTAGCTATTACTATGTATTAGGCACCACAGTTAGCATTTTACTAGCATATTTTCTTTAGTTACTTGGGTAGTAAGTGAACAGTAGGCCCAATCCTGAAAGGAAAGTGGGTGGAGGCAGGAGCAGAATGGTGACCCAGCAGCATGCAACACCCATGATGGTAAGTAATAATAATGTTTACTACCCTGCTAGGACTTGGAATGAAGAGTGGGTGGGGGATTCAGGAAGCTTTGCTGGGGGTGGAAGGCTTTGCAGCAGCAACAGCCTCTGTTTTGAAGAGCTGGGCCAGCCCTGGCATCCTGGCCTCCCTTATACAGGCAGAGGCTAGAATAATAATTTGCTCTCACGGCCGAAGCCGGTTTGGCTCAGTGGTAGAGCATCTGTCTGTGGACTGAAAGGTCCCAGGTTCGATTCCAGTCAAGGGCATGTACATTGGTTGCGGGCACACCCCCAGTGGGGGGTGTGCAAGAGGCAGCTGGTCGATGTTTCTCTCTCATCGATATTTCTAGCTCTCTATCTCTCTCCCTTCCTCTCTGTAAAAAATCAATAAAATATATTCAAAAAAAATAATTTGCTTTCATGGAAGAATAGAACTGGAGGCAAAAAAATGTCAACAAGAATAGGTTTTTATTATTTAGCTGTTAAAAATGCATTGTAATTAACCAAATTTAAGACACTATCACATGTGAGAATCATCATTTTTGGTTACCACTGATAAAGAAAAGGATGATATTAACTTATCAATTCCAGACATGTGAAAAATGTAAAAATATATATCTCTCAGAATTAATAAATTTTATTTTATTTTATTTATTTTTTAAATATATTTTATTGATTTTTTACAGAGAGGAAAGGAGAGAGATAGAGAACTAGAAACGTCAATGAGAGAGAAACATCGACCAGCTGCCTCTTGCACACCCACTACCGGGGATGTGCCCGCAACCAATGTACATGCCCTTGACCAGAATCGAACCTGGGACCTTTCAGTCCGCAGACTGACGCTCCACCACTGAGCCAAACCAGCTCTGGCAGAATTAATAAACTTTAGTATATATGCAGGGCAACTCTTTCTGTTTGTTTGTTTGTTTGTTGTTGTTATTGTTTTGAAAAAAAAAACAAAAGAATATCAGAATTACATTTTTTTAAATACCAGTTTTTAATAATTTAAAGTATCTTTAAAATACTCTTTAGAAAATTTCCAATAGGTCAAAGAAATTAAGGTAACTTTGTTAATTTTCTACCTATAAAATGAATAAACTCTGCATGATATAAAAAGGTAGAACAACTACATACTTCTGTATGAAACTTTACCAACAGATTCAATGTCTGCAACATTAAAGAATGCATGAACACTGACTCTGTTTGAGCTAATTTCTATAATAGGTCAGACAAACTGTTGTCAAATTTAATCTAGTGCTACAGTCATTCATACATGCAAAAAGAATAATTTGTGTGGCTTACATATTTCTTTTTAAGAAGTGTTTTCTTCCAAAATTCAACCTTTCATTTTTAGAAAACCTAGAGAGGTTTTTATTCATACTTATAAATCACAGTTCTCTCTAAGCGCCATAAATCTCTTAATATCATTTCCAATTTAGAAACTGCTATAGTTACTGTTTTATATAAACTATATAATCCATATTTGATGTTTTTTTATGAGAGTAGAATTTTCAAGTATACATGCTAATGTATTTTTCCTCTCCTTTCCACAGTTACAGAAGTACTTACTTCATATTATCTTTTAGGACACAATGTATTATTATGCTTCTAAGTCTATAAAAATCAATAGGATGTAAGTTGAAATGTAAACAGATATAAGTATTATAATTCTGCTTCAAGAAGTCACAAATAACCTACCTGAAATATTGCCATTGGCATGCTAATAGAGCCTATAACTCTAGTGGGATTATGTTACTGCTGCCTTTACCATACATTAGCATGCATCTAATGAAAGCCTTGAGTTGCTGAAAAAATCTCTCCCCATCATATCCTAGATGCTTTACTTTGAAAGCATAAAACCATCAAAAGTATAAAATTCTGGGTAGGTATAGGCTCCCAATGCTCAGCTACCTTCCTTTCAGCAAGTCAAAAATATTGTTCTTTCTTTTTTTTCTGATAAGAAGGCTACGAGCCACTCGTTTACCTCAGGAAAGATCCCTAATGTTTCATTAGCATGTTCCAGTACCTTCTATAGGGATGAATCAAAGTAAGTAATGCCCGATTTCTCTCTCTCTCCCTCTCTCTCCCTCTCTCTCTCTCTCTCTCTCTCTCTCTCTCTCTCTCTCTCTCTCTCTCTCTCTCTCTCTCTCTCTCTCTCTCTCTAAGAAAACACTCAACAAGCATTTATAACTGCCTGAATGCAACCTTTTAACTTTAGATAAGTATAATTTTAAGAATGACCTTTAATTAAGGAAAAAATTATTATAACTCCAAGACTTACAAACTTAATTAGAAAAAAAGACCAATCCTTTAAGTGAAAAAGCTATGAAAAATGTAAGTTATCCCAGTCCCTCTCAAATAATTATCTATAACAGATCTAGATAAAACTACTTTAATTAGAGCATGAAATTATATAGTGCAGCTTGTTACATTTTCTGGCTGATTGGTATCACATAATTTTAAAACTAGAAGATCCTTTACAGACTACAGCAGCCATTTCCCTCTTCACAAATGAAGATGCCACAGCCCAGGGGGCTGAGGTCACAATGACAAAAGAGGCCAATTCCAATCCAAAGTCTCTTGACTGGATCATCCAGAGTGGGTCCCCTCACCATGCTGCCTCGATGACAGTAAGATTCAAAGGACCAAAGAAACGGGTTCATGAGAGAAGAGGAAATGAAATGGAATTCAGACAACCGAAACAAATATCACATCAAGTCTTAGCCTATCCTTCTTTATACCTTAGGGGGAAAAAAGACCTATTTCCTCCAGTTAGAAATGTAAATAGAAGTAGTTGGGGGACCTCACATCTGGTTCCTGAGAAAATGACAGATTTCCCACCAAAGCTGCAAAAGGACTAGAGAGCTAAGCAGATGTGCACATACAGATGAACTTACGTCCACATGGAGCCAGAGGCCATGCCTCTCGCAGACATCAGCTATTTCATCCAGCGGATCAAAGGCACCTAACACCGTGGTACCCGAGGTGGCACAGACAAGGAACGGTGCTGCTCCCTGTGAAAAGGACCCACACGTGAGAGCTGTCACCATCACCTCTGAGTTTATCCCGTACAAGGTTGGTACATTATAAAGGTCCTAATATATCCAGAAACGCATTTGATTCTTGGAGATGATCACCGATTCAGTGACTGTTTCTAAGCTTTTTCACTATATAGTTTTGTATTATGAATAGGTTAAGGAAACAGAAAATGCTACAATAGTAGTCCTTTGTCCCAACTCAATATGTTTAGTTTCCTTTTCTTTTTATAGCCTTTTCTGTTCATTGCTTTCCTAGATGGAAAGTAAATAACCTCATCCCCATTGGCATGCTGGCATTATGTAAGATTCCTCACTCCCTGGGGAGATTCATTGGGCCTCCAGAATGCCGATGTCATTACCCTTCTCCAAAATAAAAAGGGCTGTTTGGAAGACAAAAAGTCAGCTCCAGGGACAGAGCCCGCAGGCCAGTGGGCTTGTCTCCTTGTGAAGTATGAGCAGTTACAAAACAGAGAGTATGCTCAGGTGCAAACTTGGCAAGGTAACCTCACTGGGATCTACTCTCCAAAACAGGTGTTGCCACAGAGAAGTCTGTTAGAATGTGCTAGAAGAGAGAAGCTGCATAGCTTATATGGTGATTATTCCTCCTCATCTACAATAGCTGATGGCTGCATCTTGCAGAGTGAACAGGTGCCCGAAGGAAATGGAGAGAAATGGAGGATCTGGGACTCATGTAGAGATGAGTGGTAATTCCAGCCAAGCTAGTCAGCACCTTGGCCCCATAAGGGAGTTCATGACATCTAGGTAAAGGATAAATAGCCTGTGAGGCTGTTTCTCATAGATCATCCCAGTATGTGAGCAGAGATATGTTACTGGCTGTGGAAGTGCCTTAGAGTGAGGGGGGACGGGGAGAGGAAGGAAGTAGAAACCTACTATTTTAGCTGTGACAAGAACATTTATTGCCCATTGAGTTCATTCTTAACTCCATTTTGGGTGGAATTATTTTTTCCTTAGTTTTATTTTCAAGTGCAGGTAGTTCTTACAAAATAAGTTTACATCCCATTTTATTGTGGGGGGTTCTTAACCAGACTCACTTCAATCTAACTGACCATTGACAGACATTCATTTCTCAATGGAAAGGAGGGCAGAGCAAGGGCACTTTGTCCACATCTCAAAATTTAGATGCATAAGATCAAAGTGACAGTTCACAATGAACCCATTTGTGGTTTAGGCAGAAGGTTGTGACACTTGTAACCTAGTCCATCGACCCAAACTTCTCAGAGTGGGACCATGGGCTTTGAGAATTCCTCCCTGCACTCATCTACCAACAGATTATACCTTTATCATGGCAGAGAACTAAAGGAAAAGGGACCAGGTTTATATCAATCATTAAAAGCAATAGAAAAAGTAATTTACTAAAACCATTTACGGTGTCTTTAATGGTTGAGCTTTGCCTCATAAACTATATGACATCCTGACAGTGGTGAGAAAACACCTATGCAAGCTATCATAGAGTTTTAATGACTTTTTCTCACCTTTTTTCCTTTTTTTAATAATCTAGCTATAAATATCAGTCCCTGAAATTAAACTTTTGCCATCTGGATTTAACCTTCCAGATTTTTCCTTTCACACATCTCATGCGATTAATAAGAAAATTCAGTGGAAACAGAATTGATGGTGTGCTGACCATATCCTGTTTTCTCTAAGACATTTTGTCATCTCAAAAGTGATATGCAAAAATACTCCCAAATATTCAGTGGTTATGCTATTTTATCTCTTCATAAGCACTTCAGAGCCTAGGATGCCTCTGTGGTTTTCATCCTCGAGCAAAGGTCACTGCTCAACAGATTTGTAATGGATTGTGGCTGGCCAGGGAATTGAAGCCCAACAGAAAAGAAGTGGATGCACAATTTCCTACAACTGAAACAATCCGAGTTAAAAGCTGGAAACAGAACGACTAGGTGTGACGCTATTGAGAAAAATAACTTAGTCATAGGGTATTATTATCTCAGAATGGATGGGAGGTTTGCCCTTGGTGGACCCAGGCCCCAGTTTTAGCTGACTTGAAGAAAAACAGAGGAGACATACTGACTCTCACTCCATTGCCCTACTTTAAAATGTGCTGAAAGCAATTTTTACTTTTGAGAAACTTCCCTTTTCAGGTTCTCACCTTAAGATTGGGTCAGTTTCACGCACTTTAATTATTAAAGCAAAGCAAAATTTACACAGTGAAAATAATAATCATTGCAGTGGGATAAAACCCATCGAATATACTAGAAAATGAGTTCTTAATGATACTTAATGATTTGACTATCTTAGGGGATGCTAGGCAACTAACTCACTATTCTGAAAATTAGCAAATAATGGGAAAGAAGAAAATGTGGATCCTGTCTTGTCTGTGAAAACTATTTCCTTAGGGAAACCAAATAGAAATGAAGGAACATTTTTCCTTATAGTAGTATGACTGCCAATAAATGGAGGAGAAATGAGAGAATAAATTAGAACATCAGCTACTGAAACAATGGGTCTAGACAAGGATCATCAATGGCAGGAAATCCATGAGGTGAGAGGTGGATACAGAGCTCTCTAACAGGTGGGCTGACAATACCGGAACCCACCAATCAATGTTACTACAGAAAGAGACTAGAGATGCCTCTTCATGGAAGGGCAAAATGTACCCATGAATAATTTCCGGCAACATTTCCAATCTGAATCTCACTGAGCCTCAAGATCTGTCAAATTACAAGAAATATAAAGAACAGATGGGTGGTGCAGAGGAGGGGAGCACTTAAGAGTCTCAAATGTGTGATGCAGGCTACAAAATTCATAATATGGAAACTACCACACCAACAGATGCAGTTACTTCAACAGATCAATTGTAAGAGAAAAAAACAAACAAACAAAAACAAACAAACAAACAAACAACAACAAAAAAAAACAAGGAGGAGGGGGATCTAAAAGAGATTTATAGCCTAGAAGAGATTTATATGATGAATCAATCAAATGCAACACATAGGTCTTTTATGAATCCTTATTGAAACAAACTACTTTTAAAAGGGAATGGGAGAAATTTTAAGATAGAATGGATATTTGATGATACTAAGAAATTATTATTCCTTGTAATGGTATTAATTTTTTCTTTAATATTATATACATATAATTGATTTCAGAGAGGAAAGGAGAGGGAGTGAAACATAAAAACATCAATGATGAGAGAGAATCATTGATTGGCTGCCACCTGCACATCCCCCTCTGGGGATCGAGCCCACAACCTGGACATGTGCCTTTGAACAGAAACGAACTCAGGAACCTTCAGTCCGCAGGCCAATGCTCTATCCACTGAGCCAAATCAACCAGAGCTGGCATTTTTTTTAATAGGACATATTTGTTATAGATATACTGAAATGTTTATAAAGCAATTAATATGATGTGTGGGATTTGCTTCAAACTAATCACATGTGAAGGGAGAGAATTGGGTATAGATAACACAAAATGGAGCATAAGCTAATTATTATTGAAACTGAATAATGAGTATATGCATGCTCATTATATTAGTTTTGTATTTATTTATTTAAAATTTTCCATCATAAAAGTTTAAAATTCAAAGAAGATATGAAGAAAGGAAAAAAAGGAGTGGAGGGTTAGGGAAGGAGGGAGGGAGTCAGAGAAGGAGGCAGGAGGGAGGGAAGAAGGAAAAAGAGAGAGAGAGGGAAGGAGGGAGAAAAGAATGAATGATATAAACCATACAAAATGCACAATCAATATTCCCGACCAATAAGCATTAATGACATTATGAAAGTTCACTTTGATAGTAATTTCTATAGAAAAAGATAAAACTAGGATCTGATGGCTATATTTCACAGATGAGCAAGGTGGTTGTAATCTAGAATTTTACCCAAGAGGCAAAGAAATCTGATCATCTCTACCACTGGACAAGTTCAAGTCCACCTGCCATTGGAATGTTTAAAAAAATAAAGACAAATGTAAATCTAAGAACATACCCTAAGCCAATAAACATACAGAAAAGGCAAAAATTTTAAGTACAGAATTTTAAACCAAATATAATAATCTAGCATGCTCTGGATAATGTGTTTTTTATTTAAAAAATAAAATATAAAAAGTAAAATAAGCAAAATATAATATCAAAATTTAAAATTAAGTGAATACATTTTTTCTTAGAGTGTGAAATCCTACAAGGGAGAGATACATCCCAGATCAGAAGCTAGGCTTTTCGTTAATTCAGAGTCACAACTGACTTCATTGCTACCTACTGGAAAGTTACAGGAGAACAGTCTGTAGCTCCTTTTACAATGAGGACTCTGCTGGGATTGGGAGGGAAGCAGTGAAAAAGTAGGTGCACTTAAGCCAGCAGGTCCAAGAAGCAAGATGGCTGGCACCAAGACAGCAACATACCTCAAAAGCAGGTGTCAAGGCCAGCCCTAGCTAGAGTATCACATATGAGCATAGTCATGCCTTGCTTTCTCCAGTGACAGACATGTCAGCTTTAAAACATCCTGGCAACTGAGAGAACATTCTTCCAGAGCTGAAATATCAGACCCAGACTCGATATAGGATGGCGGTTATGAATGGACTTTGGGTGGAAGCAATCTGGGAGGATAGGTTGATCAGGAAGGTAGGAATCATTCTGAATGCAACAAAGAACATTGGTTTGGGCTGCAGAATTCTCAGAGCCAGGAGTTTTGTAGGCGAGTGGTTGTGGAGGTTCTGCTGGAGGGGCTGGGTTCACTATTTTTTAATGGTAATCTTTACCCAGAGGATGTTTTTTTCATTGATTTTTAAAGGGAGTAGAAGGGAGGGAGGGGAAAAAGAGTGAGGAAATGAGGGAGGAAGGAAAAGGGAAAGTGGGAGAGAGAAAAAAACACTGAAGTGAGAGAGATATATCCATTGATTGCCTCCCGCACCATCTGGGGCCAGGGGTTGAATCTGCAATCCAGGTATGTTGTTTTGACCAGGAATCAAACTTGTGACCTTTCAGTGTGCAGGCCAATGCTCTAACCACATAGCTTCATCAGCCAGGCTGGGGTCCACCTTTTAAGGATAATTCTAGTCAAGACTCCTGAATGCGATGATGTCAGGGTTTTAATAGGTGCTGGCCACCTAGGATGAGAGCATCCAAGAAACTGCACAGAACATGAGCCACACACCTGGAAATGGAGCACCTGTTAATAAGTTACTGCATTTTAATTCTCCCATGCTCTCTCCTCTGTCCCCCTGCCCCAGAAATGGGTCTGACTGCTTATATTCCCTCCTTGCAATCTCGCCCTATCACCCAGATACATGCATGCATTTTCTTTCCCTCTTTTTCTTTCTCCCCTCTCACCTGTTTTCTGGCTTGCCAGATTTGCTTCTCCAGTTCCTCAGGTATCATTTTACCTCTATGAGACACAGATTGGAGACGTCCAGTTATGTTTAGCAGGGAACACACATTGGTACAGCTTTTTTTAAAAGTAGGAATTTCCCCCTCCACCCACCAGGTTCCCGGATCCTGTCTCCATTACCTTCCATCTGTTTCCACGAAGCAGGTGTTCTCTGTACCGATCCCAAGGAAGGAGGCTGCCTTCTTCATGGAGTAATGACACTGAATTAGAGGATAAAGGGAAGAAAGGGACATGAGTTTGTAGCATGAAAAAATGACTGCTTATTCTCTAAATGAGTATAAGTTATATGGCTGAGCACAATCTTTAAAACATTACTGCATAAAAGAAAAAAAGTAGTAATTTAATTGAACCCCTAAGTGCAGTGGTGGAGAACATGTTGGGGTCAGAGAAAATGCAATTTAATTTACAAGTTTTCCCAGTGACAGCTATGGAAACTTAAGCAAATAATGTACACTCGCCAAGCCTCAATTTGCAAATCCGTAAAATGGGCATGTCAATGCCTACTCCATCTTTGTCATAGGATTCAATGGGTTAATATATATGTAAAGGGATTAGCACAGAGCCTGGCATATGGAACACATTTGGTGGCTGGAGGCTGTTTTCCATAACATTGAGAAAAGTTTCTCTGGATGCTACTAAGATTCAATGGCAAGAGAATCTAGTCCTCTGCTAACTCAAAACCCCCTAAGGAGTGAGCGAGACTCTGTCTCAGAAGTTATAATCCCAAATCACAGAAGAGTTTCATGATTTTCAACAGCAAACAATGGGTTCAACATACTGATTGGACATTTGACCAGTCTGGTTTAATATTCAATATAAGGCTGAAGTTAGACAATACCAGAATGTGGCTAAAATCATAACAAAATTAATAATTTATAGACAGATTACTTTATGCTACCCTGGCATGAATGAGTCTAATGGCTCTGGAATTAGGTCTCATCTATTTCTTTTTAAAAAAATGTATTTTATTGGGTTTTTTTACAGAGAGGAAGGGAGAGGGATAGAGAGCTATCGATAGAAACATCAATGAGAGAGAAACATGACCAGCTGCCTCCTGCACACCCCCAACCAGGAATGTGCCCGCAAGCAAGGTACATGCCCTTGACCAGAATCTAACCTGGGACCTTTCAGTCCACAGGCCGATGCTCTATCCACTGAGCCAAACCAGTTTGGCTCTGTTTCTTATTGCAAACAGTAGAATATGCTTTAGATTATTACACCTTTTCCGCCTACTACATGAAGCCCATAGATAATTAGCATTCAAATATTGGAGATGTCAGTCTTCATACATTAGTGTGGACAGATGGTCAATTAATTCTTTTTCATGCCAGAAAAAAATGAAGGTGCTAAGGGACATTATTGTACCCCCAAAACCTTAGTAATTTAATTTGTAGGTATGAATACATTAAGAGTAGTCATGCCTTCACACTTATCTTGCTACATTCCCTCAAATGTGATAATTCTTTTTCTTCTTTTGTCAGAGTTTTATTGGAAGCTCTTTAAAAAGAACTTTATAAAAATAAATGCAGAGGCAACGCCATCAGGAAAAATGAAACCACCCTAAATAATTAATTTCCAAATGTCAAACACAACCTGTCCAAAATGCCTGCAGGTTGCATTCATTTCAGGTGGTTACAAGAACATATGCATATTGAGGAGCCATGACTTATATGAAAAGGTAATTAATTCTCTACTTGTTACATCAGCCCGCCATTGCCGAGGTGACAAAGGGAAGGCCAATTATTTCTCACAAGAGATCCAAGCTCTGGCAACCCAGCAGCTATTGATTTCATAGTGATATCTGCCTAATAGGGAAAACCACATTGTTTTGCCCTTAGAAATAGCAAGATATGCCCACCTAATAGATCTGCTAGATAAAACACTGGTTACCAGAATAACAATAGCCTGAGTGGAGCTATTTTTGGGTACCTCAGGGCTAAATATAGTCTGATGTCAATCTCAAATGCAGAGGGACAGATTAAACACAGTCTGCAACACTGAAGCCGGAGCATCTGAAAGCATCAGAAGAAGAAAGGAAAGAGGGCGATGCTTCAGACATGCTGAGCACTTTCAAGGAAAGGAAAACCTAGAAGGCTGAGCTCGGAAGCAAGAGCTGCATTTAGAAATAAGTGGTGGCTGCTCCCATCGCTGGCAGGAGAGAAGCGGCTGTTCTAATACCCAGTCCCCCTAGGTTTCATTCCTCTACAGGAGACGCAAAAATCTCAGCGGGTGTTCACTCCTGTAATGTTAAAACAGCCAGAGTCTCCATGAGAGACAGATGGCACTGAAGTTTTCCTTTTTGGTTCCAACAAGGATTTTTTTCTGTGACCTTGGGTTTCTCAATGAACCACTGCTTCCCTTTCCAGATGGTGTTCTGGATGCTTGGACTCCTTCTAGCGCTGCCTAGTTTGATGCTCAAACTGGCTCTCAGTGGCAGCGGGGAGAGCAAGGTCTGTGAATGCTATAGGCCAGGGAAGAAAGAAAAGTAGGATGTCTCCGACAGCACACACTGGTTCAGTGCCCAGAGCCGGAGGCCAAGTGGACTGATCTACGCTCTGCATGGTGTCCTCAGAGCGCCTGCTTGCTTATCCAACCCCAGGTGAAGACTAGGAGGCAGGGCCAGGGATAAAGAGAGTGAACAAGACCCTGGGTGCAACATCTAAGGTAGCAAGACCTAATACATGCACCCTAGTGTGTCCCTCACCTCAACCAGTCTCCATCCTGCTAGAGAGCAACTAGCACAATTGACAGCTGACCTGGAAGCAATGAGTTTCTTTTCTCTTCTCTCTCTTTAGTGGCAAAGGAACGCTACTTTATGCTGATTCCCCAAATGATTTGAATGACAAACCTAAGATTTCTAAATATTCAAGGAATACACAGTTAACTGCTAGTCAAGTCACATATTTATGACTTTTGTTATCCACCCCCCCCCCCCCAAAGTCCCCTTCTCTCTGGTTCCTATTTAGCCTGGAAAGGCCACCTTGGATATGCTAACAGTCTACGGACCTCTGTCATGACCTTCCAGTTTTCCACCAACAGCTGAACCACAGTCAGAACTGGAAGTTTGCAAAAATGCCTCCAGTGGGAGGTACATGTATTCTGCATATGATGGGTCGAGGTAGAGATGCAGCAATTACCCTGGGTAATCTTGGGCAGCATTGAAACTGAGAAAGTCAGGCCACCTAACAAGCAATATGGGAAAATAACCACGGCCAACACCCAAAAGAAAACAAGGGAGCCCTATCAGGTCTGGCTCAGTGAATAGAGCATTGGCCTGAGCATTGAAGGGTCCCAGGTTCGATTCTGGTCAAGGGCAGATGCCCCAATTGCAGGCTTGGAGGCAGCTGATCGATGATTTTCTCATCACTGAGGTTTTTTCTCTCTCTCTTCCTTTCCTTTCTTCTCTGAAATCAATAAAAACATGTGTTCTTTTAAAAAGATAAAAGAAAATAGGGGAAGACAGCAAAAAGATTAACGTTGGGTTTAAGATCAATTAGGAAACATGACCTTCTCTACTTTTTTATTTTTAACCAAATGATAAACTGATTTGTTGTAATAAATGGTGAAGGTGGTCATAAAATATGAGTTAGTATAATGCAAACGCTATGAACCGAGTCTCATAGGCAGAACAGGGAAAGGAACAAGCTACAGAGCAGAGTCTGGATGGTTGGGGTGAGAATATACAGTCAAGGCTATACTGTGTTTGAAGTTATGGAATTTCTCTGTGGAATTCCCATTGTTACAAGTTTTAAATCACATGAAGAAGGAAAAAGGCAAAAGTCAAAGCACTGTGCTGGTAGCAGAGGCTCTATTTAATGAGTTTTCCTAGGCTCAAAAGTAGGGACTCCAATGCAGGAGAGACTTTGATTCCTGATATATTAGGGTCCCTCAAACTGAGATATCAAAGGTGGGATCCCAGAGAGGAAAATTCTACTCCATAATAATCCCCAACAACCAAGTATTTCCCCCAGATGCCCACATCCCCACATATTCTTCTCTTGCTAGAGAAACAATGTCTTGTGAGGAAGGGCCTTGGGGTGGCTGAGTACAGAATCTCAGAGTAGATGATTCCTCCCAGGTGCCTCCCAACACCCAAGGCCCACTTCACACTTGGCGCTGAACTGACCGGAGCAAAGGGCAGACAGGACAGGAGGAAAATGTGGGAATGGCCAGGTTTCCTTTCACTGTGGACCTCTTTGTACAATCTGTCCTTTGTGATAATAAAGTCGCTTTTGCTTTTGAAGGAAAAGAACAGATACAGGAAAACCCAACTGGAAATAACAGGGAATTTTCAGATTCTGCCAGCCTCGAGTATTGCATAGGAGACCGAGGGTAATTGCAAAAGGTACAGAAGCTACACTCTCCTTCCAGGGGTGTGGGGGAAAAGCAGCTTTGGATAGGCAGAGGCACCAGTGGAATCACACAAAAACAGAAAAGAAAAATAATAGGGTCTTCCAGATAAGATGGCACGTACGCGATGCCATCTATTCTAACCACATAATTAGAGTTGGATCATTCTCTTCCCACTAATAATCAGAGCAATCATTTTTTTCTATCTTTTATGTGCCAAATGCTACTTTTCATGCATTAACTTGTTCAATCTTTGCAACAACCCACTAACTGGTGACCATTAAGCTCCTAGGTCGGTCATTGGCCAGCCCTGTGGCTGTTGGGTTGCTTTAATGGCCCAAATTGTTTACTGTGCCTGTGTCTATGCCCTTTCCCAGATGGTTTTGTAGCAAATATCCTTAAGAAGTAGACTATTTACTCACTTCTTGTATCTGGATTTCTAGGCATGATTTAGTTAGCCAAAAAAATGAGGGAGAGACATGACAAGGTGTCAGTTCTGAGCCTAGAACTCAAGAATCCCAGAATGCTTCCATGCAGTTGTGTTCCTGGTACCACTGCCACAAGAACACACCTGGACTAGCCTGCTGGAGGGTGAGAGACAATGAAGCCGAGAGGACTCACTAGAGTTATCCCAGCCAAACTGCTCCTAGGTCGATCATTGGCCAGCCAACCCACAGACAGGTAAGGGAACCCAGCAAGAGTAGCTGAACTGCCCAGCTATCCCAAGACTTGTAAACAATAACATGTATACTTCTATGCAACTGGGTTTGGGAATAATTTGATTAGATACAAGAGCTAACTGATAGGCTCATTTTTGCAAATTTGGAAACTAAGGCATAGAGTCCTTAATCAACTTACCCAAGGTCACTGAGATAGTAAGTAGTAGAGATAAGAAATTAACTCAGGCAGCCTAGTTCAAGGCCAATGCACCTATCCACCATCAGAGGTTCTACGTAAGTGGAGAGTAAAGGAAATAGGGGATTGTGGCAACACACAGGAGTGTGTGTGTGTGTGTGCGCGCGCGCACAAAAAAGAGAGACAGACAGAGGTTCATTTTTACTCAATATATCCCTTTCTTCTTGAAAAGTCCTTGTGTTAGTCATTCAAAGCAATCAATTTTAAAAAGAAATGTGAGTAGATGACATAGCTGAGATCAGTATCAACCATCTAACGTCTAATAAATGAGCTACTCAAAAAAGAGATTCGCAGAGATAGCATGTTCAAATGAAACATTCTCTTTTTCTAAAGAAAATATTACAGACTATAAATTTTAAGTAAAGGTGATGTACAAAATTGGGTGGCCAATATCAAACCCATCAGAATTTCTTTAGGAATGAAATACGATGTTACACTTAGGCATGTTAGTTACACAGAGAGGATAAAAGTGCATCAGGAGTCCGTAGACAAACAAGTCCTCTTAAATAATGCATTCTCAGAAAATCTGTATCTGATACCCAAAATGATTTTTTACCTCTGCAGATGTGAAAAGGATTAATCTTGGCAACCCAGACAGTCCCTTTTCCTTGATTTCAGGACAATATTTGTATCGAGCTAAATTCATGGCATACATATTGGACACTGAGCCACCTGCAAAAACAAAATTGCAATGGCATATTTATAGCATGAAGTTATAGCTCCCTAAGTGCTGACTTCAGTGGAAAGCATAAATGGCTATGGCTGCTCTGGTCTAATGACAAATCACTGGGAAACTCATTTAAACACCATCCCACCCACCCCATTACTCTTCTACACTTCCCAGTCTCTAATTCCTGCAGTTTCTGATCTCAGCAAAGTGAGAAATTTTGGTCTATTCTCTCATTCCAGAATTTTTCCAACTAAAGGTTTCAATCTATGAGTTCTGTATCTAACTCTCTGTAGTTAATATTCTTTCTGGCTGTCATGGGATCAATAAAATGACAATACATGCCCATCTCAGCTTCCAAACAAACAAAAAAAGGATTGTAGGATAAATAAAATGTGACTTAGGAACCTTCTCAGGAAAAATTAAAAATTTAAAAGCCTAATAATCTTATGATAGCCCTTCCAAAAACAGGTAAATTCATTTGTTTTAGATGTGAATCTTAAATTGTAGATATCTCATTTGTTTAGCATTTATTGTCATTTATTTTTATGTAAAACTAGAGGCCCGTTGCATGCAATTCGTGCAAGAGTAGGCCTTCCTTCCCCCACCTGCCGGCACCAGCTTCCCTCTGGTACCTTGGACCCCGGTTTCCCTTGTAGCCCCTGCTTTGTCCGGAAGGTCGCCTGGAAGGATGTCCGGTCTAATTAGCATGTTACCCTTTTATTATTATGAATGTTATTGCTCTGGAGAAAGGCACAAGCTAGGGTCTCCCTAAGTGGCATTATTAATATCCCACTTTTCATGATGTGTGAATCTGCAAGGAGTTGTTCTTCATATACCACATTAATCTATTTTCAGATGCTTCTAATGGAAGGGAGATGGCAATAACTAATTGTACTTACCTGGGTTAAATATTCCATCTCCTTCTTTCCAGCCAATAAATTCAATCATTTTCTTCAGAACCGCTTCTTCCACTAACAGAAACACTGGGGACACCTCATATGTATAACTAGATAGATATAAAAAATACTTCACTTCTATGACTGGAGTCAAACCATCCCTTTGGTGTCCCAAGCAATGCACAGAGTTTTATTAAACCAGGTAGCTGTTGAAGTGTAGATAGGTTCTTTGGAAATTTATTCATTGGATATAGAGAAGTATTCAGTCAGTGATAGTGCTGGTTGTGGTTAGATAATAGCTGGTGGCCGTAGGGATATGCTAGCTACTGCAGCAGTCTTAATTTACAGAAAAGCTTCCATTCCATTGGGAGAGATGAAGGCAGTGCATCTTGATTCTTTGCATTAGTCATGAGCAGTGGCCTTTTTACTCTTTGGATGATGCTTTGGATGCTGGCTGGCTAACGGAAAAACCATTGTCATGGTAACTGGGTTTTATTAGGTTATCACTGTGAGTGCCCTAGCAGGCAGCTCTAGATATTCTACATGGAAATGACCCATTCTGGATGACAGCTTCCTCTGCCACACTCCTGTGTTTGTACAAATGAGAAGTGCTCTGTGGGACATCTCTCATGATGGGATTTTACGGCGAAGCACTACCCAGATGCCCTTCCATGAAGAATCTGTTGCTTCGGTCTGGAGGGCTGGAGTTGGAGAGCACTGCGAAGTTAGCTTCTGTAGGAATTTCCTCAGCGTAAGTGAGCCACCTTCCCTGAAGTTAAACCCTTCCCTGTGGTGGTCTACACCTGATGACTGATCTAGCTCGAGGCATAAAGGCCTGGCCACCTGGGCTCAACTCTAGACCAATTTGAGAGCCACTGTAGCTCCAGAGATCTCCATGAAGTCAGCCTCTTGTCATTGTGCCTGCATGGCAGCTTAACTCCTATATCTGCCCACTGAGCTTTCTTCCCTCAGTGTCACCCATGTTGATCCCACGGGTATTCCTTAATAAACATCTTGTTCCCTAAATCTCATGTAGAACAGCTTCTAGGGAACTGAACCTAAGACAGTAACCATTGTCTGAGTCTCTTCTTCTTCCAATTAACTTGAGAATGACTAAATATCTATAACCTCCTTCTCTAACAGTTAAGTGATGGAATTAAATTGCACCTGATTATATAAGCTAGGCAGACACATTCAGATTTATAGTCACTGAATTTAATGCGATTATTTTAACATCTGAAAGGGCAAACTTCGGGAGGAAGAAGAAAAAAAGATCTACTATGTATCACCTCCCGATGTGTCAAGCACTATACAAACATTCTAGGTTCTACTTATAAAACATGCTAGGATCCCAGTTTACATATAAAAAATGTGGGGGGAAAGCACACATGTTTATGTGTACCTAAAATATAAGTGAAATAATTATCCACTTTTTTGTAAGAAAAAATTAATACTAAATTAAATAAAAATTACAACTAATACTTTAAAACCTCTAAAGATTTCAGTTAAAAGAACTTAGCAAACACAATACACACAATTAAAGGCTCACAGAATTGTGCAATTTTACTATCTCTTCTGACTTACCTAACACTTTAACTCTTCTACCCATTGTAATCCATGGTCTTGCATTACTCTACCCAAAGTTCTCTAACTGAAGTCGCCAGTGGCATACATGTTGCTAATCTAAGGGACATGTTTTAGTCTTTGTCTTAAATACTCAGTAACATGTGACTATAGACATTCTCCTCCAGGGTTTCCATGCTTCTTCACCTGATTTTCTCATTCTCTCTCTCCACTGCAGGCTGAACCTCCTCCTCCTAACTGTCCTCAACACCCAGTCCTAAACCCTCCTCTCTCCTCACTCTATTCTCTGTTCCAAAGCCAGCACTTCTCCATCTCCTGAGTTGTTGTTTTTTCAGTGCCTCCATCCTTCTCATTAAAATCATTTATAAACACACCACAGAAATTCATATTTAATTGATCTGATTTGGAATGCAAGCCTCAATTAAAAAAAAAAAAAAGTTCCCAGGTAGATTCTAATGAGCAGAAAGGATTGAGAATCACTGACTTAAGGAATCTCATCCTTACCCAGTGTTTCAACTATCACGGTTCACCAATAACTCTTAAATTGATCCTTTTCATAGATGTTAAAATTTTAGTTTCATGTATCTCTCTGCTTGGTGGTATGTACTCTTAGACATCTCAAAGTAATTATAAGCTCAAGTTCTCGATTGAAAATGAAATACTTGCTCTTGCCTTTTTCACCATGTATTTGAAAATTGGTTCCCTCTTCTAATGCTCTCATCTCAATGAATGGCATGATCATCAACCAAACTATGAAAGCCAGAAATCCAGGCATTATTCCATAAGGCTCCCTCATTGCCTCATTTCTATGATCCATTATGCAGGGTGTCCAAAAAAAGATGTATACACACTTTAACAGCTGACAGCTCAATTTTGAAAATGAAATGTATTTTAATAAATACTGCCTTTCTAATTATTCAAATTATGTATATACTTTTTGGGAGGACACTCTATATCAACCAGTTCTTTCTATTTTTTTCTTCTAAGCACATATTTTTGGTCTCTGTTCCTACTACTACCCAAGTCCAAGTTATTATCATCTCTCACCTGACTAAGGATAATGCCCTCTTACTTGATCCCCTCCAATCCCCTCTCCATTATTTTCATTAATATTTTCAATAAGCAAGTGGCACCTGATAATTTAGAAACCTTCAATGGTTTTCCATTGTACTTAGAATAACACAATAACATGGCTCCCTGGGTCCTATAGGTCTGGGCTCCTATCTGTATCTCCAATCTTATCTTCATTACAATCTCCCTAGTTACCTCAGCTACAACCAGAGTGACCTTTCAGTTCACAGCATGTGTCATGCTGTCTCCTGCCACAGGGCCTTGGTATATGCTGTTCCTTCTGTTTAGAACTCATCCCTCCCATTTTCACCTTAATTTTTACTTATCCTTTATCTCTTAGCTATAACTTCCTCAGAGAAGACTTCCTAGAGCTCCCAACTAGAAAATATTGGCCCATTTATATTTATAGCATCATGCCCACTTTACATGAGAATTGAAATTTTAGATTAATTTGTGGGCACGTTTTGATTAATTGGCACGGAACATCTATATCTGAGTAGATATTTTGTTTCATGAAGGGAGAGTCAAGGTTTGTTTTTACTCAAAGTTGTAGCTCCAGTATTTGATTAATTGGCATGGAACATCTATATCTGACTAGATATTTTGTTTCATGAAGGCAGAGTCAAGGTTTGTTTTTACTCAAAGTTGTATCTCCAGTATTTAGCACAGACATAGCTTTTCATGCAAAATAAATTAAAAAATTGCTTGCTTCATTTTCTCATTTAAGTGGAGATAATGCCTGCTTTATCTTCTCACAGTGGCACTATCAAATCAAACAGCTCTTTGAATACTATGGTTGTCAGACTACTCCATTATTTAAGATGGTATTGCACCAATAAAATCATTAACTAGAAATTTACAAAATAAAATTGTCATCTACTTAAAAAAACATCTCTAATCCACATTTGGTAAAAAATTCCATTATAATGATACTTACACACTTGGATTTAATGCTTCTGTCATAAATCGGGCCACCAAGGAGTAATAATCAAGTCCAGCGTACAACTGGTTGAAAAATCTTGGATGGTCTGTAAATTTAAACAAAGTATTTATCTACACAGCAATAAAAAAGAAAAATCTATCAATACTATATAGCAATAACAAATGAGTCTTTTAGACAATAAAAGCAGCTGGACACAAAAAAGATATACTGCTCAACTGCACTTATGTGATATTCAATATGAGGCCAAGTTGATCTATGGGGATAGAAATTAGAATTCTGGGTACTTTTGGGAAGGACATATTAATTAGAAAGGAGCCTCCAGAGTGTTGAGAATTGTTTTTATCTCTATCTTGGTGATGGTTATTTACATACACATTTGTGCAAATTCATCGATATGAGAATTTAAGATCAATCCATTGTACTGAATGCAAATTACACCTCAATTTAAAAAAGAGCATTCAAAACTTAATCATTCACAAAGGAAACAAATGTTAAAGACCCATCTCCTAACCCTTTCTCCTGAGCAATGATACATTTCTGAGTAAAACCTGAACTCTCTTTTACGACCTTTGGTTTGCCTGCTCTTTTCCTCTTTTCTTCCTACCACCCTGACCCAACCCCAAATCCTCAAGAATTGGGTTATTTGAACACTTTCTGTGCAAGTATCAAATATCAAAACCTGCTACCTTTACCCTCTGAAAATACTGATATTAACTTCTCCAAATGTATGCGCACTTCTCTCACCAGCAGGCTGCGCTTTGGGCTTCTGGCAGTGGTGGCCTTTTTTTTTTTTTTTTTTTTTTTTTTTTTTTTTTTTTTTTTTTTTTTTTTATTTTTATTTTTAAGACTGGACCACTTTTCATAATGCAACTGGCATTATGTGGATGGAGTAAAACGTGACTCATGGTGCAGCTTGCATAAACTTTCTGATTCAACTTTTTTCAAAGGCAAGTTGCCTTTAAGACTCAAACAACTTCAATTCTAACTTTCTATTTTTTCTACCCCCGCTATAAAAGGTTTCGTAAAGGCCCTTGGCTTTACACAATGTGAATATTCACACCAAACACCAGGCTCACTGGTTTGGCATTCTCAATCATAGGATGCCCAGCCTGACCAAGAACAACAGTTGCAGAAGGTCTATTTCCAACGTTGAGGGTTTGGGAACCATTTCAGTTAGTGACCTCTTGTTACAACTTCCAGCATTTGGTTTTAGGTTATTTTTCCTCTTTCAACTAGGGGTTCAATGAAAACAGAAGTATGAAGAGAAAAGGTCTTTTTAAAATAAAACATGGAGCCAAAATCGTTTTGGCTCAGTGGATAGAGAGTCAGCCTGTGGTCTGAAGGGTCCTGGGTTCGATTCTGGTCAAGGACATGTACCTTGTTTGAGGGCACATCCCCAGTGGCGGGTGTGCAAGAGGCAGCAGATTGATGTTTTTCTCTCAATGATGTTTCTCTCTCATTGATGTTTCTGGCTCTCTATACCTCTCTGTAGAAAATCAATAAAAATATATTTAAAAAATAAATAAATAAATAATAAATAAATAAGTAAAATAAAATAAAACATGGAAAACGTCCTCTAATCAGGCAAAGGAAACCAGACACGGTTGCAAGTATTATAATTTTAATAAGATTTGTTTTTGTTTGTTTTTTTAGTTCCGTGTTAATTTATGATTGATTTCCATGGTAACGTTACGGAAAATATCTAGTAAGCTAAAAAATCCCTTGCATTAAATGCCTTCTATACTTCTGACATGCACTAGAATAATAAGATATGTATCTCTACTTTTGAAATGCTAAGTGGGTTTTTGATACATACACCAGACTTTCCCAAGGGAATATAAACCAATTATTTTTAGCCAGGATTTTATGATGTTCCTTCCACTACATTTAGTTCAGCGTCAGAATTCACACAGCATAATGCCTGCATAGTCTTAAGCACTAGATTACCTTTACATCACACTGAGAAATGCATATTTTGGAAAATTATTCTCCTACTTTAAGAATTTGTTCCCTGGGTATATATGAACAGTCAATTGGAACAGTATTTAGCACAAAACTGGCATCATGTTACTGCATTTACAAAGATCACAGTTGTTAAGCATTGTTGAGAAACTATCACAACATAAACTCACCATGTATCGGATTCATTTTTTATACCTTCCTCAAGGTTTTTATTTTTTGTTCCTACTAGAATTGATAAAATAATTTGGTAATTACCAATTGCCCAGAGTTAATAAGTATTTTTCAAATAAATCTATTCCTATTTATATTAAAGACACATTCTTGAACCTTTTTTTTTTTTTTTTTTTTTTGCATATTCTAGGCCACTGAGATTTAAAATCCCTTACAAATTCTACAATCAAAGTATCATTTGCCAGTTTGGATCAACATAAGAAATGAGAAGCGGCAGTAATGGTATATGGTTTTAATTATAAGTGGGGAATGGGGATCGCCAAGGAGTGGGTAATATTTACTTATGACCACCAGCACCAACAGTTTCGCTCTCATTTTATTTTTGGCCTTTACCACAAATCTGTAATAAGGGTTAAATGAACCATTTAAAAACTATCCGAACCACTTTTTAAACATATTTTTATTGATTTTAGAAATGAAGGGAGGAGACACAAACATCAATGATGAGAGAGAATCATTGATCAGCTGCCTCCTGCACGCCCTGTACTGGGGATAGCCTGGGTGTGTGCCATTGATCTGAATTGAAACCATAACCCTCAGTCCACAGGTCTACACTCTATCCACTGAGCAAAACCTCCTAGGGCATAACCATTATGTTTTGATCCAGGTTTCTCATCCATAAACACTGTCATACTCAGTTTTATCATGAGGTAAATAAATCCTAAGAACATGTACTTATTAGAGGTACCGATCAAGGAAGTAAATTCTTACTAGTTTTGACACTGTAGCGTATGACATCCCGGCAGAGTTCTAATAGCCTGTGGTGTGGCTCTCCTGTGTCTCTCATCTCCAAGTCAAGAAGCTGTTTCAGTTGTTCAGGAGGCTGCCATTCACAAACCTGGAGGGTTAGCAATGGAACGGTTAATTGAGCACCATGAGGCCAAGTATTGAATGAATATTAGAAGCATGAACTCTAACCTTATGGAGCTTCCAGACAAGAGGGAGAGACTTACAGGTACTTACAGGTGCAATCACAGTGTAGCATGAGAAGAGCTCTCACAATAATGCAGAAATCATTAAACAAATGAGGGGCCTCAGTTTAGATTTGGAAGGTCAAAAATATCCTAGAACAGTGGTTGGCAAACTCATTAGTCAACAGAGCCAAATATCAACAGTACAACAATTGAAATTTCTCTTGAGAGCCAAATTTTTTAAACTTAAACTTCTTCTAATGCCACTTCTTCAAAATAGACTTGCCCAGGTCATGGTATTTTGTGGAAGAGCCACATTCAAGGGGCCAAAGAGCCACATGTGGCTCACAAGCTGCAGTTTGCAAACCATGGTCCTAAAGGAACCAAGCAAAATTTAGGGATAGGGTAAGGCAAGGGGCATTAGTGGAAATAATAGAAATCACTAAGGCTGAAATACAAATAGAGGTGCCCAGGGCACACGGGAAGAATGAAATATGTTTAGTGTGGCTAGAAGAGGCAGTTTGAGGAAGGGAGAGGCAAGGAAGGGAGAGGCAAGGTTGAAATAACAAATATTTGCTAACTAGTCTCTGTGCTTATATCCTTGCCTTATAGTCTACTAGCAATGTAGCATGGTCATTCCTCTGCTCAAATATTCCCAATGGGCCCCCATATTCTTCACAGTAAAACCAAGTCTTTACAATGACCTAAAAGGATCCTGTATAATCTGCTTCCCCTGTCAGGGTTCCCCTTCTAGTTGCATCTAGCACTACTTTCCTCCTGGCTGACTCTGCCCTGCCTACATGACCTCTTGCTGTTCTTCAGTGCACCAGGCATTCTCCCATCAGGGTCTCTCTGCATGGTTGTGCCCTCCACCTGGAATGCTCTTCCTCCCAATATCCCTACAGCTCATTTCCTCACTGCTTCCAGAGCTCTACTCAAATGACACCTGCTCAATGACAGCAATTCTGATTTCCTTATTAAAAATCACAAGCTGCACATTACCCCATCTCTACCAAGCTCTCCTGACTTTTCTACTCATCATTTTTCTATAGCACTTATCACCTTCCAATATTTATTGTGTCCTATATAATCTCCATGAAACCAGAGACATTGATCTGTTTGTTCACTGGTCCCAAGTAAATGAATCAGAGCCGGCCACCTAAGGGGATGCTCAATAAAGATGATGAATGAATAAGTAAATGAATGAATGAAGAAATAAGCAAGACTCATATCATGATAGGCTTTATGTGTCATGAAGTGTGAACTTGGCACTAAGGAAGCCATTGGAATGTTTTGGATGGGGGAATTATATCATCATATTTGTGTTTTGGAAGAGTTTTTGTTGCTATGTGGAGATTCCAAGTAAAATTGGAAATAAAGGTTACTGTAATAAATCAGGCAAAAAAAAAAAAAAAAGGTGGCAGGCTGGATGAGGGTAGATACTATAAGAATGAAGTATTTCTAGAGATATTTGATATATGCTAAATCAATAGAACTTAGAAATCAATTTCACATTGAGAATGAGGGATAGGAATAACCAAGGATATTGAGGTCTCTAGCTTGTATGCATGGGTTGATGGTGTTGATAGGGAGAAGCATCTGGTATGGGTGGGGATGATGAGTTTGGAGAATATTTAGTCTAAGGATTCTCAAGACATCTGAAGGGGTGTAGCAGTTGGTCTGAATCTCCTGTGAAATATGAGGAAGAGAGGTTCAGGAATACACCATGATAATCTAACATGGTTAACACAGCTCAGAGAGAACCTACAACCAAGAGGAAAAGGTGTAGGATCTCACTGAGTAATGCCAACACTGGGCAAAGGGAGAGGGACTCATGTATGAGGTGGGGTCATGCTGAAGAAGCAGGGAGAATCCTAGAAGAGTCTAATGCTATTAACACAAAGAAAAATAGAATATTCTGAGAAGAACATTGCCATCACTGTCAAATCCTAGTGAGAAGCCAAATTAAATAAAGACTGTGAAGTGCTCAGGGGTGTTATCAACAAGGAGGTGTTCTTGGCAAGAGCAGTGTGACTTAGAGGTAGGAGTGGAGGCCAGATTGCTGTGAAGTGAGGGTGTAGGAGGTGAGGAGATGGAAGAAGGGATGGGTAGGGAGACAATTTTTTAAAAGTTTGGCTGTGGATGGGGAGGAAAGAGACACGGGAGTAGTCAGGAAGTAAGTAGACTAAGTGGTAGGAGGTTGTGGGAAACAGGAGGAAATACCAAGTTGTCCAAGAGGTATGAAATTCACCCCTGATGTTAGGACTACAACAGGCAGAGGTAAATCAAAAGTAACAGAAATAATAAGAAGAATTAACTAGTGATACAACATGGATGAATCTCAAATACATTTTGCTGAGGGAAAATAAGCAAGACTCAAAAGGCTACGTTTGATATGATTCTGGAAAAGATGAAAACTACAAGGACAAAAAAACAGAATAATCACTGCCAGGGTCTAGAGTTGAGGGGAGGGTTTGACTATAGAGGGGCATAATGAAATTTGGAGGGTGATGGAACAATTCTATACCTTGATTGTGGTGATTGTTCCAAGAAATTTTCAAAACTCATAGAACAGTACACCAAAGAGAGTAAAATTTTACTGAATGTAAATTATGACTTTTAAACAAACAAACAAACAAACAAACAAGGCTAAGAAAGTGTGTTGGGTATTAAAAGTGATCATCTCATGAAATGTGGGGATGTATAAGCAGGGTACTTTATTTAAAAAAATTAAGTTAAATGTATTGGGGGGACATTAGTTATTAAATTATGTTTCAAGTATACATTTCTATGATACCTCATGTGTACATTATGTTGTATACTCACCACCCAAAATCAGATCTTCTTCCATCACCATATATTTGACTTCTTTACCCTTTAGTAACCCCTATCCCTGTCACCTTTTAATGGTACCTTGTTGGATCTCTAACAAAGAGGCTGTTGGTAGCATAAAAATTTCACTCCCTCCCTCAACCCCCACATAGCTTTCTATCCACCTTCACATGGATAGTCTACACATCTGCTATATTGTGATTGACTTATGTTTCCTTAATTGATAACTTAGGATCATCAGCCTACCCTTCTCATTTTATCTCCTATTAGTTCCCTATATGAACACTTTTTTTTTCTAGGCAAAATGATCCCCTTACTGTGTTAAATGCATCTTGTTCTTTTGCAACCCTCTTTCCATATTTAACTTCCTGCTTTCTTCAACACACAGAGGCTGACTTCTCTGCGCCCATCAAAATTTTACTTACCCTTCACATTTCACATGAATGACCGAAGTGCCCACCACTCTGTGAAATCCCCAAAATCCCCCTCAGCCCCAGTCACAGAGCATTTATCACATTCTTATGGGATCCCCTTTTTTCTTTTCCAACAAAAACTTATTCTTCCAATTAGATTATAAATTCAGTTCAAAGCTGAGCCTTTCTCTTATTTTTCTTTATATTTCCCTGGGCTAACTATAATGCCTTACCCATAACTAACACTCCATTAATATTTAATGACCGCATAAAGGCCAATTTAAAAAAAAAAAAATCTTACCAGAGGAGCAGTGTGCTCCAAAGTAAAGCAGGTGCAAAATATTTCACAAGTACAGATAAGGCCATAAAACAGGCAATTCTTAAATATATAATTAGGAAATATCAGTGATTTTGCCTTGAACATAGCCATTCAGAGTTCACAATTCATTAAAATCTATTTTGGTATTAGTTTTCCCAAATGCGTGTGATCAAAAATTCAGAATACATTCCGCTTTGCATGCAAAATGCTTTTTAAATGACTTTTATTTCCAACTAATAGAATTGGAATAAAAATCTCTCCATCTCTCCTATTTGTTGACCCATTTGTTGGTAACCCAATTCATACATAAATGGTGATCAATGAGAGAAAGGATAATTAGGGGATTTTATAAAACATATAGAGGAGTAAGTAGTTAAAGGCACAGACTCTGAAGACAGGCTGCCTGGGTTTCAGTGCCAGCTATGATGCTTACTAGCATGTGATCTTAGGCAGAGTACTCGACCTCTTTGTATCTATTTTTTTTCCTGATTTCTAAAATGTAGTTACTAAACAGAACCTGCCTCTTAGGGGGTCTTAGGATTAAATGAACCAACACATATGGCGTGTATTTGTGCTTTGTGGCCTTATATACCTAAATTATGGGGTCCAAGATAATCTCCCAGCAAATAATGACTGTTAAGAGTTAACCCTTCTATTCCTGGCTAGTGTGGCTCAGTGGTTGAGCATAGACATATGAACCAGGAGGGCATAGTTCGATCCTCCTTCAGAGCACATGCCAGGGTTGTGGGCTTGATCCTTGGCAGGGGGGCATGCAAAGAGGCAGCCAATTAATGATTCTCTCTCATCATTGATGTTTCTATCTCTCTCTCCTTCTCCCTTCCTCTCTGAAATCCATTATACATATATATAAACTAGAGGCCCAGTGCACAGATTCATACACTGGTGGGGTCCCTTGGCCTGACCTGTGGGGATCAGGCTGAAACTGGCTCTCCAACACCCCACAAGGGGTCCCGGATTGTGAGAGGTGCAAGCCAGGCTGAGGGACTTCACCAGTGCATGATCAGGGCTTGGGAGGGACTGCAGGAGGGCTCTAGGGTATGTCCAGCCCGTCTCGCCCAGTCCCAATTGGCTGGACTCCAGCAGCAAGCTAACCTACCGGTTGGAGCATCTGCCCCCTGGTGGTCAGTGTGCATCATAGTGACTGGTCGAACAGCTGAACAGACACTTAGCATATTAGGCTTTTATTATATAGGATATATATATTTTTTGTTTTCTTAAAATGCTAACCCTTCCAGGAAAGCAGATATGGGGTGGGGAAGACAAATGCAACGGTAGTATCTGGGCAGCCCCTTGAAACAAAGATATAGAGGAAATTAAAATGTGCACTTCCCATTTCCCTTACATCTAGCCATCCAGATTTTGAGAGAAAAAGCATCTTTCCTCATTCCTGGGATTTCTTCTAGATTCTTTTCTTTTACCTTCTCATTGACATCTGTCGCCTTTAAAACCACCTCTTCCATTATTAGCCTCCAGGCCTCTTCAACAAACTTTTCTCCTGCCTTTGCATCTGTGGTGGGACCATTCAGTATGACCCCGTCCACAAGAACAGCGCTCTTCTTAGTTGGAACCATCTCTTGTTGATCAGTTTCTCCTGGAAGCACACACACAAAAACACACTGAGTATGAGAGGTAATCTAAGTGGACCACAAAAAACACAGGGTAAAAAATGAGTCACCACTCCAGCTTCAAGTGGTGTGGTTTACTGTATTTTAACACATTTGCAGCATTGAAACTGACAGGTTCTTATATTGGTGCTCAAGAGTGGAGTTGGGGAAAGAAACCTCTATGTTCCATTCCTGCAGCGTCTTGTTCAGCATCAGGGAGTATGGATGAGCTCAAGTAATTTAGATTCAACCGATTTTTACCCACTCTTACAAACACCTTTCAAGAGATCTTGGTAAACACAAAGCCCATGTCTATTGCATGAACACACCCTTTCTTGTAATTTCTTAAGGATCTCCAAATATTTCCTTTTAATAAGTCATTCCTAAAGGGAAAAAAAAGAATATTGGGGTGTCACTTCTCTTAACTTTACATTTTAAGCATAGGTTTAAATGACCCTCTACTAGTATATTATAGACAGTGCTTTGTCCCAGAGATCAACTCCCCACTAAGTCTCCTCAGCCATTTCCTACTGAAAGAAGACAAAAGAAAATGTGAGGCATGATGGTTTGCATAAACCCATATTTAATGGCTTTAAGCTTCTCAAACTTGCAGTTTAGGCCCAGGCAGAAGGAAGGAACAGGGCATTTTTAGGACGACACAGCTGCTGGTCAGTGATTAACTGTTAAAAGTCAGCATCAAAATTTATATAATTAATGTCGTTTTTTAACATTCGTTTAAAATCTTGCTTGGCGTTGACTTGTATTGATATAACCTTCAAACACGTGGTATCTACAGAACGTGTGAATTGCAATTAACAAGTTTTGCTTGAAAAAGTTTGTGTTTGGTTTGGTTTTTGTTGCAAAACTAGGGCTAAGAAGATGGCGGATGAAGAGCATATTCGGCACTGCATGCTTTACGAGTTCCAATTAGGAAGAAAAGCAAGTGAGGCTGCAAAAAACATCTGTAGTGCTCTTGGTCAAGATGCAGTTAGCGCCAAAAAATGCCAGCGTTGGTTTGAGAAATTTCACGAGGGAAATTTTTCGTTAGATGACAAGAGTGGTCGAGGCCGTGTGTCCAATTTTGATCAAGAAGTTCTTCAAGCTCTTTTGGTGCAAAATCCTCAAATTACCCAACAAGAGCTTGCGACAACTTTAAATTGTTCACAAAAAACAATTTCCAATCAATTGCGTGCACTTGGCAAAGTCCAAAAGTTTGGAAAATGGGTTCCTCATGAGTTGACCGACAACAACCATTATCAAAGAGTCACAATTTGCAGTTCGCTCCTCTCTCATCAAAACCGTTTGCCATTTTTAGAGCAAGTTGTTACCTGAGATGAAGAATGGGTGCTGTATGTTAATTTGAAAAGGCGGCCTCAATGGTTGGACAAAAATGAGGCTCCGCAGCCCACGCCAAAACCTGACTTGCATGCGAAAAAAGTGATGTTGTGTGTTTGGTGGAATTTTAAAGGAATTCTTCATTATGAACTTTTACTATCTACCCAAACCATTGCAAGTGCAGTGTATAGTGCCCAATTGGAAAGGTTAGCCCAAGCTTTAAGAGAAAAAGAACCCGCGCTGATTAATTGGAAGGGCGTAATTCTTCACCACGATAACGCACGACCGCATACTGCAAGAATCACTGCTGAAAAACTGCGCCAGTTGGAATGGGAAGTTCTCCCTCAACCTGCATATTCTCCTGATATTGCCCCTTCCGATGACCATTTGTTTCGTTCTTTGCAAAACCTGCTTCTTGGAAAAAAATTTAATAATGAAGAATGCCTCAAAAATGCATTGACCGAATTTTTTGCATCAAAATCACAAGAATTTTACAACAGAGGGATTAAAATGCTTCCTGAGCATTGGGCACAAGTAGTAGAAAACAACGGCAACTATATTGTTGATTAAATTTTGTTGTATTGTTTAAATAAATTCGATTTAAAAAAGTATTAGAAAACGACATTAATTATTACTAGACCTAATAGCTGAGAATAAAGGACCATCCTCCACAAAAATAACATAGACAACTGAATCCAGATATCCAATCAATATCTGCTATACGTGTTGATATTTGTTTTTCTTTGTCTAAATAGTAACTCTCCTCCTTACAATGTTCATGTTCATTTAGTTGTGTTAATTTACAGAAACAAATTTTGTAAGTATTTCTCAGCTCTGCACCTAGTCCAGTGCCTTATGTATACTTTCTAAAACTGCCTTAAGTATGCTGATGGTCTGTCTTTCAAATATTTTTATATTTATTGAGGGCTCTAAGAGTATTAACATGTGTTATGCTGTTGAGTTTGTCTTCTCAACATTAAATGTTTTGATAAAGTCCTGAGGTGTATAAACTCTTTCATTCTATTGCTGCCAAACTCAAATGGTGTCCCTGGAGGCAGGCGGAAATGTCACAGGAACATTCCCCAACTTGGGAAAGATGGTACCTGCAGTGAGATCAGTCTTTATCCTCACACTGAAGGCTGAACCATCCAGAGCTCCAATGTCGAATTTTCGTTCCATCCCTCACATTCACTTATCTTTCACTTGAAAGGATGTATTTAACATGGTTTAGGGCTGAATGCTGAAGCAATAGAATTTCACTTTTAGACGGAAATGCTTTACACCTAAAGGCACTTTCCTCCCCCCAGTTTTAGGTCCTAAAAATAAACTGGAAACGAGGACAATTATTCAGGAAACCCTGGTTATGTCAGTAGGCATTGCTATTATTAAGCACACAGAAAAAGATGGTGATTTTTTACCTCATTAGTAGGATTGTGAGTTTTTATTGCCCAGGGAATAGCAGCCTCTCAGATGAGTTTCCCTCTCCTCTCTTCTCCTTTCTCCTCCCTTCCCCTCCTTTCCCCTCCCGACCCTCCCCTCCCCTTTCTTCCTCTCCTTCTCTCTCTCTCTCTCTCTCTCTCACACACACACACACACTAAAAATGTCAAATACCAACTTGCAACTACTGAAATTGAAATTAAAATGATATCTGTCTCCATAACAACAAATTAAAGAAATGCCCATAATTCACACAATTATTTAGAAGGAAATACTATAAAAACTGGGTATAGATTATTCTTCTTTTCTTGATAGGTATGTTTCATTTCTACTGCCAAACGGCATCACGTGACTTTTCCTCCCCCTGCATTTTCCCAAATGGGAAAAGACCCTCTGGAGATTATTCAGTAAGTCACACTGTGATCTTTAGGGATACAACCCTAGGACTTCCAATCTAACTACTGCAGTTATAGATTAATAAGAGACTTTCAATCGAAAGTGTTGCCAGAATATGACTGCTTTTTATTACACTCTTTCCTGAAACCATCAAATACTAGTCCAAAACACCATCAAATGCTTACATTAGTGCAGCAGCCTCCCAACTGATCCCCCAGCTCCCCTTAAACCCTGCATGCCATGTGGACTAATTTCAACATGGTAGCTCCTATGTCCTTTGAAAAGATAGTTCAGATAACATGATGACTACTGTACTCAAACCATCCAATGGCCATTTATCTCATGAAACCAATGACCAAGACCTTATAATGGCCTCTATGGCCCTCAATGAGCCACTTACTTCTTGGACCACAAACTTCATCTCTTATTTCTGTCCTCTAAGCTCATCACTTTGGCTTCTTCAATATTCTTCAATTTTTTTCTTAAACACCAGCTTCTTAACAAGGCCTTCCCTGATAATCCTACTTAAAATTGCAACTGCTTCTTTCCCCACTCTTCCCCCCCCCCCCCGCCTTCTCTCTCTTCTTTATTTGTTGCAGACTCTAATAAGTGCCCTAAAGAAAATTACCTGAATGACTTGATGGAATACAGACAAGGAGTTATTTTAGAACCTGGTCAGGGAAAAGCATTCTGAAGAAGCCACATTTGAACTGAGTCATGAAAGAGGAGATGGAGCCAGGCCTGGAGAAAGAGACTAGTCCAGGTAGAAGAAACAGAAAATGCAAATAATCCATAAATTGGCCTCTTAAAGAAATAGAAAGAGATCAATGTGGCTCAAGTGTGAGAATAAGGAGAAGGCAGGAATAAGTGAGATTTGGAGAGATAGACAGGAGCAGACCAGGTAAGGTATTTTATTCTAAAAGCAACAGGGAGCCATTTAGAGGGTTCTAAACAAAGGAGCAACATGATCTAGTTTGCAGTTATAAAAGATTACTCTGACACCATGAGGATGATAACTGTCAGAGGCAGATGTGGAAATAGGGGCATTGCTGAAAAGACTACTATAGAAGTCCAGGCAACAGATCACAGCAGGTTTGATCTGGAAGGAGGCAGCAGAAATGTAGCAAAGTGGGAGACATTTTGGCGATAAAGCCAAGAAGATTTGCTGATGAAGTAGATGTAGGGGGTCAAGAAAACAAAAGAACCTCAGGTGACTCTTGGGGTTGGGGCCTGAAACACCAGGGAAATTCTGGGGGCCATACTGATATGAAGGCTACTGGAAGGACAAGTTGGGTAAGTGGGTAGTAAGGTGGGGGCGTAGAAAATGCTTATGATGGGGTAGAAACAAAGATTGTGGCAAGAACATTCATGACAAAAAAGTAAGCAAACATGAACAAGGCAGAAAAATGTATGCATCTGTCTGTGTCCAGGAAACCTCAAGAACTGCTGTTTGTCCAAGGGGAAAGGTCTGTAAGTGGGAAAAGTGACTTCCAAGAAGGAGGCATGGTGACTGATCTTACAGGAGCTTGAATAGAGACTGAGGAATTTAGATGTTACCAGTACTTGGTAGGCAACAGGCAGCCATTGGAACTTCAGACAGGATAGGAGAGTGCTTCAGAAAGATGCAGTAAATACTCAGGTAGCCTTCAGATGGGAAAACAAGAACTTGAGGTGGGAAGATTTGATGGCAATAATCCAGGCCAGGGAGAGGGAGGCATGAATCCAATAAAAGACAAGACAGTAAGTTTATTTTAATCTCTCCCCTACAATCATGTTCCGGAAAACTTGGCTCCAAGAATACTATGTCTTTTAATGA